TTCTAGACATGGCATATGGAATGCTACAGGTAACATGTATTCAACTTGGAATTGAAATACGATGCAGTTAGTATGATGCGCCGAGCCCGGTGCATGCAAAACAGATGAGTGGATGCAAACATGTGTGATCCCCGCCCCCGCCCCGCCCCGCCCCGTTGCCATTCCTAACAATACGTCTTATTTTTTTATATTTTTAAATATTATTTTATTATTTTTATTCAATTAAACTTATTTTCAAGAGATTGATCAACAAATCTCATATCTTGGACTTGTGATCCTTATAGTTTCATATTTTTTTTGTGATCTATTTAGTCATTTTAGATATATAATGACTCGTTTGATATTATACTGTCCTTAATTGTTGTTGTTTGTTGGAATGTTATATTACAATGTTACATTTAAAAAAAATAGTAACAATTTTTGTTTTTTGGAATGTTAGAGCATCCCCATTGAATCTCCTAAATCCATCTCTTACCTATTTTTAGGAGTCTTTCTTTATAAAATCAACCCCATCAGCTCCCCTAAAATAACTCCCTATATAAGGAATACTACAATTGCCCCCCAAATGTAAGGGCCATTTCCCAAAATAAGCCCAACTACTAACCAATTTTCCAAACGGAGCTTAGTTTGGCCGATATTCCCAAAATAAGCTGATGTATCAGTGTTGGCCATCTATCAATTGCTAATCTTTTAGTCATTGTTCATGGTTGGTTTAGTGTATTTCTACTGGGCTGTGGCTCACCCTATATGGGAATATCATTTTCAGGTACAGGTAGCATGCCACCTCCAAGGACTTAGCTTGGGAGGCTAGAGGCGGACATACTTTTGTCGTTTTCTTTTTGATGTATTACATGTAATTTCAAGCCAAGGGCTTAATGTGTAAATGAGTTAGTACTCTTTTGTTGTAACCAAGTGTTAACTTTGAAAGCTGTAAGCCCATAGGGCATTTGCTTTTGTTGTTAACATGTACTACTTTTGTTATAAAACTCTGATAAATGGAAGAATGTGGAACTTTTACATATCAATGCATATCTTTATTGACGGGTTTAATGTTGTTATTTTGAGGGCGTTACACAACTTGAGGAAGAGAGGTTTTTTTTTTTAGAGAGCTTAAGGGAGACATTGAAGAATAAGCTTAAAGCTTCATAATTCAACAAGTTAAGGTAGGAATTTCTTAAATTCTTGAATTTAAGACATCTACATTCATATCTTCTTGAAAGTAAGCTTAATTGAGAAAGAATCATGAATGATTAAGAATGTTTTATGATGTAAATTGAAGTAGGACACCTACATGAGTTTGTATGGTTGGATTTGAATAAAGTGGTTCATAAACATGACATGCATAGTATAAATTTATAGCAAATCATGTTTAATTGAGAGTTTCTGGATGTAAATTAATGTTAAGAATTCATATGAGCATAAAATTGAAGAATTGAAATAATTGAGTTCGCATTTTGCACATTGTCCGCTCGAGCGGCCAAGCCTTTTCAGTATATTTTGACATGTTGTTCTATGTTTACATCTTTGCTTCTGTCTTCTTCTGAGTGTTTCTAAGCATGAGTTATGACTCATTAAGGTACTGATATGTAAGGAAACAACATGTATAATTGAATTAGAATTAGAATGAGAAGATAAAGTATGTGATTAGAACAATGTGTTCCAATGTGTTTGGTATATGCGATATGTAGGTTTAAATGTTGTGTAAGGACACCAACCTACTCGAGGTGAGTAATCTCTTTGTAACGGTATTTTTGTATGAATTACTTTGAAATTAGTTTTGCTAGATAAAGAATTATGAAATGGGATGAAGTTTATAAATAAGTCCTTTAAGACTAAAAGTTATGCTTTGACATACCGAATTGTGTACAATGTAAATTGTGACAACCCTGACCTATGTTTAGCATTAATTCATGATTAAGCATGCTAAGTAAATGATTAAGATGAAATCTCAAACTGTTTATGTGAGTGCGTTGTTTTAATTGCATTTCTATCTGTTTGATATGGAACGATCTGTTCATGTTTTGATTTCGATTTGCGAATTGAAAGCCTTATCAGCGACCGATTCAGAAATTGACCTGATTTATATGCTAATTAGGATTTATGGAATTTTATGGTAAGTCTAATTGAAATTTGATTTAGAACAACTAGATTAGAATAAATCATGTTAAATTACTTTAGCTTCAGTTATTTACACATTTGCCATTGGTGGACCTTTACAAGGCCATTTGTTTGATTTCATATATCTTGACACACCATTCATGCTCCATCTTCTTGCACAAAACGTGAGAGAGAAAGAGAGTTGGAAGGAAAGTGAATTCAACAAGAGTCTTGCTTGAAATTTAGAGGAATTGAAGAGGACTTGCAAAATTGAGCTACCACACTTGGAAATTCAAGACTTATGGTGGGAATTCACCCTTTTAATTATGAATTTAAGTTGTTTCATGCATAGTTCATGGGAAAAAAATTGGAGACTAAACTCAAGAAATAGCCTAAATAGTAGAATTGATAATCAATTCATGCATGCATGTCCATATCATGGAGTTTTGGAGTTGTTTTCATGAAATTCACACATGTATGTTCATATTTTAGTTGTGATCCAAGAATTCACCATGTTTTTGAGTCATATTGCACCTGATCATATTTTGGGAAGCTCAAGATAAAAATACTTCATGCATGTTATGTTCTTGCATTGTTCATAAAGTTTACATTGGAATTTGGTACAATTGGCACACTTTTGGGCTATGATCTTATGAAACGATCTTCAAAACATGTTGCGTTATGAGTTTCTAAGTATTTTCCAGAGAATTGGCCCAAAAGGATGAGTTTTGGCATATTAAATCCATGGTTTGAGCTTTGGGAGCAAATCTGGAAAATCCAGAATTTGGCTTCCTCGCTTGAGCGAGGGATTCCACGCTCGAGTGACCACCTTTGTTTTCAGTCTTTCGCTCGAGCGATAGAATGCTGGCTTGAGCGTAAATTGCAAGCTCTCAGGTTTTTGCGTGTGCAGAAGTATGCTCGAGTGACAAGACTTACGCTCGAGCGAAGAACTGTGTCTCACGCTCGAGTAGGCATCGAGCGGAGATTTTCAGTAACCAATACTTTTCACATTTTTGCAGATCGCTCGAGCGAAGGAGTCTACGCTCGAGTGACCAGGCACATTCTGCATGTCCACTCGAGCGAAGGAATCCACGCTCGAGCGAGACCCCTATTTTCAGCGAGTTTTGAAAAATGTTTTTAAGTACATTTTTGCATCCTCTTTTCATCCTAGGCATTCCTAGGCCATGTTTAAGACATCTTATTGAGGATATTGATATAGAACCACACCAAAGCAAATAAGGGGCTAAGTTATTAATTCCGAGTGTGTAATTTAGTGTGCGTTCATTCTGTAACTGTGTAGGCTTGGCACCCAAGGACGCTGATTAGCCTGCCTATAGCCCAGTAATTTGTGAGTAACAATGTTGCAAAGATATGTTCAATCGTATTTATTTTCAGATTGATAAATCATATTGCTTTACGAAATGATATTTCTTACCGATTGAATGATGATCCTATTTTGAATTGTATTCGTGGCATCCATAGCGTATTGTGATTGTTATTGATTATTGATATCATTATTCTTACAGAAATCTCTGTCAGTTCCAAATCTTGGAACTATTGTTATTGTGCGATGGCCATCAATTGATTGTTCGGTCTTTTACGACCTAGTGTATTGTTGCTATTGGATGTACCACGTATGACCTAAGTGAACATGATAGATCGCATTGATTGAATTGAATATTGATTGACAAATGGTATTGACTGAAAACATTCCAATGCTAATTGACTGTTTTCAAAATTAAAGGACATCATTCTCAACCTCTTTACACATTTGTTATTCACTGGGCTTTAGCTCACAACTTATATATATATATGTAGGTGGCCAGGCACCGGACCAAAGCTAGATGCGCCGACTTAAGCTCCTGTTTTGTTGAGCCAGCCATTGTGCCTCACTTCGAGGTTCAGCACTTGCACGAGTCAAGGCTTTTGGGTGTTTCTATCCACCCCTTTTGTTAAGTGTAATGAATGTTTAAGACTTTTGATGTACAGTTATGTTTAAAAGGGTTATGTCCCTAACTCGTATGCTACAATGTACATGTATTTTTGGTATATGTCTATAGCTATGTGCATGGAAGTTTTTTTTTCCATTCAGGTTTTCACAGCTCATTGGACATCTTTTTATTATTGATTGGCTTCTGCCAGCCCCGTTATACTGTATTATCGTCATTACTGTTAAGCAGACCTTTGGTAATCACGAATTACTGGTCGGTTACGATGCTAAACCCTTAAGGGCGGGTTTGGGTCGTGACGGAAATCCAATGCAATCACCGACTAGCCAAAAATACGAAATGAAGCCTTCCAAGCGATTATCACCACCTTTAATGAGCCAATATATCGCTTGATGTCAAAAATCCAAAACGAACCCTACTTCTCTTGGCCGCCTCGGATGCTCGGTGATCCGTCACTTCGCAATTGTAGACTGTGTTGTTCTTACCATAAGGACCATGGACATCTCACAGAGGATTGCAAAGCGCTAAAGCAATTCGTGGAGGAATTGGTGCAGAGCGAACACCTACGATCTTATGTTGACTCATCCATAGATCGAAAGGATAATATTAGGGACAAAACTGGAGAAACACAACCCACGGTAACTATTAATATGATTTATTCGGTTCCAACGAAAAGGCGCATAGGTCGGGAAGCAGCACCGACATTCCGAAGAGAAATTATGTCCCTCTCAGAGGTGGCTGCAAAAAGGATTTGCTCATCAGCAAAGATTTCCTTCTCTGATGAGGATCTGACATGGATCCATCATCCTTATAATGGCGTATTTGTAGTAACATTATAAATTGGGGAATTCGTTGTCAAAAGGATGTTGATCGATCAAGGTAGTTCGGCTGAAATCATGTACTATGGACTTTTCAAAAAATTAGGATTGTCTCATGAAGCCCTACTCAGTGTGGAACCCCCACTCTATGGCTTCAACTCAAGCCCGGTGTTTGCTTTGGGATAAATCTTCCTACCAGTCAAGACTGGAGAAACAGTTCATCAAGTCGAATTTCGGGTGGTGAACGTACCCTCTCTTTATAATGCTATAATGGGTAGGACTTGGCTCCACCAAATGGAAGCGGTTCCATCTACCTTCCACTAGGTTTTGTGCTTCCTAGAGGCTAACATTTTCAGGACCATTCGGGGGGACCAAACGATGGCAAAACAATGTATGGCTGTCTCTTCAACTCAAGCACCGAAAGTACAGATGAATGATTTAGGGATAGGAGAGGAAGCCGAAACAGAGATTGGAGCTAAGAGTGCCAAAGAACTTGATAAAATACCAATCGATCCCGAAGATGAAGACAGGTTCTTCCTCATAGGTAAAAATCTCGCCCTCCAAGAAAAAAGATATCTAGTGGATTTCTTACTTCAATATAGGGACATATTGGCCTGGACACCTTATGAAATAGAGGGCATCGACCCAAGGGTGACAAGCCACAAGTTACTTGTGAGTTCGGACTCACGACCGGTAATAAAGAAGAATAGAGGGTCCATGCCTCAGTACATCGACGTCATCAAGGAGGAGATAGCTAAGTCACTTGAGGCCAATGCTATTCGGGAAGTTCAATATCTGGATTGGTTGTCCAACACTATGGTCGTCAAGAAAAAAAAAGGGCAAATGGAGGGTATGTGTAGATTTCACCGACCTAAACAAAGCATGCCCCAAGGATAGCTTTCCTCTACCAAAAATTGACCAACTTGTGGATGCAACCTCTGGACACGAAAGAATGAGTTTTCTAGATGCGTATCGGGGATATCATCAGATTGCGATGCATCCGGATGATTAGGAGAAAACCTCTTTTATCACACTAATCAGGTTGTTCTGTTACAAAGTAATGTCCTTCAGTCTTAAAAATGCTGGAGCAACGTATCAACGGCTGGTTATGAAAATGTTCCGCAGTCAAATCCGACAAAACCTTGAGGTATACGTCAATGACATGGTGATCAAGTCAAAGGAGGCTAAGAATCATCCCAATGACCTTCGAGAAACCTTCGAGGTACTCCGTAGGTACAAGATGAAACTCAATGCGGCAAAGTGTGCGTTCGGGGTTAGATCAACAAAGTTCCTAGGATATATAGTCACTAATCGAGGAATAGAAGCCAACCCCGATCAGATCTAGGCATTGAACAACCTAACCCCGCCCTCAACTGTTAAAGGAATCCAAATACTCACTGGGATGGCAGCAACACTCAATAGGTTCATCAGTCGATCCTCCGATCGATGCCGATTGTTCTTCCAACTAACCAAGAAAAGAAACCGATTCGAATGGACCCCAGAATGCGACCATGCTCTGCAATAGGGGTGGGCAGCGGATATACTGATCCGCCAAAACCGACCGAACCGAACCAATCCGCCGCATTTTGGACGGATGCGTGATGACGAGCGGACGGTTACGGATTGATTTTCTCCAATCCGCCAATCTGGCGGACGGATGGCGGATTGGAGGTTTCGTGGCCGCAACCGACCCGCGCCCACCCCTACTCTGCAAGAACTAAAAGGTTATCTCAACAAACCACCTCTATTCACCAGCCCTGACAATGTGAAAAGGTTGTACTTGTACTTAGCAGTTTCGGATCATGCCGTGAGTTCGACACTCGTAAAAGAGAGTTCAGATGGGCAAATACCAATCTTCTACGTGAGCAAAATGCTACTCGACGCAGAAACTAGGTATTTGCCCCTAGAAAAGTTACTCTTGGCATTGGTCGTCTTCTCCCGCAAATTACACCATTACTTCTTAGCTCATCCTATTATCATTTACTCAGATTTTCCACTTAAACGGGCCTTGCACCAATCTGACTCCTCAGGACATATTTCCAAGTGGGTTATCCAACTCAGACAGTACGATATTCAGTTCTGACCAATGACTTCAATCAAAGCACAAGTTTTGGCCAATTTCTTAGCCGAATTTTCACCAAAAACAAGCATCGTAGAGAGCGAAACGGGAGTCACATCTTCCATCAACAGCATGTGGGTGTTACGTTGTGATAGGGCTAGTAACGCTAAGGGTTTAGGGATTGGATTCGTACTAATCACGCCTCACCAGGAGACAATTGAAATATCCACTCGCCTGGGCTTTTCAGCTACTACCAATGAATAAGAATATGAAGCTCTCATCAATGGCCTCACAACTACAAAGATGTTAGGCACTAAATCAATAAGGGTTCAGTTCGATTCACAACTGGTCATCAAATAGATAAATGACGAATACATAGCTAGGGATAAGCAAATGATAAAATATCTGGGAGTAGCCAAGGCCAAGGCCGAGCAATTTTATTCCTTCGAGATTCACCAGATCAGGCGAGATCAGAATAGCCATGTCGATGCACTGGCCACCTTGGCCACAACAATTGCACAAACAGAACAGCGTACGATCGAAATAAGGGTCATTTCCGCCTTTAGCATCAATAGAGAAGTTGCGTTCCCCATCCATTCAAATGAAAATTGGATGACCCCTCTCATTCGATATTCGTTTGATGGTACCATGCCCACTCATAGCAAGGAGGCCCATTGGATCAAACTGTGAGCTACACAGTTTTGGCTAAACGACTCAAAGCAGCTGTTTAGAAAATCCTATTTGGGACCCTATCTCAAGTGCCTACATCCCAATGAGGTCACGAGTGTGTTTGTCACGACTCGAACCCGCTCCTATAGGTTAAGGCCATAATCGGCCAATAATCACGAGATTACCTGCGGCCTCAAACCAAATAAGACAAAACTCATCAGAGTAAAGGGGCCAAACAGAACCAAATTTAAAATTTTGTCCATAGAGCCGTGCTTATATGCACATCATAACATTTCACATTCACATATGTTAATAACTCACAACATAAAGTATAGTAGCATAAGGTTCTGTACAGACAGGATCATTCAAATCTAAGTCAGCCAAACAAAACTATACACAGCCGTATACCGAAGTCCTTGCCAACATGACAAAATACATAGAAAGGAAAAAGGGCGAAGACGTGTCTCGTGCGTGAGACGCAAGGGCTGACTCTTCAAAACTTTGGTTGTTCCATACAGACTTCACTGAGGCTAGGTTTGGACTTCTCTTGACTCACCTACAAACACATGAATGAGCATGAGCGAAAGCCCAGTGAATAATATCAAATAAAGAACATACATTGGAACAATATACATCAAACGACCTTGGGCCCAATTTATATTTCTAACTAATACATACATACATAGACATATGTAAGTTAAGTAACTGCGGTTCCAAACACATCATATGGCCTCGAGCCCAATTCATTAGTATCATTCAGGTCAAACTGGCCTTTGGCTCATTCATACTTTCATGGCAAACTGTTATTCGTGTCAAACTGTTATTCGTGTCAAACTGGCCTTTGGCCTATTCATTTATTCATGTCAAAACGGCCTCCGGCCCATTCATTTATGTCCAAACGGCCTCTGGACCATCCATTCATTCTTGTCAAAACGGCCTCTGGCCCATTCATTTATTCATGTCGAAACGGCCTCTGGCCCATTCATTCATGTCAAAACGGCCTCTGGCCCATCCATTCATTCTTGTCAAAACGGCCTCTGGCCCATCCATTCATTCTTGTCAAAACGGCCTCTGGCCCATCCATTCTTGTTAAAACGGCCTCTGGCCCATTCATTTATTCATGTCGAAACGGCCTTTGAACCATTCGTTCATGTCAAAACGGCCTCTGGCCCATCCATTCATTCTTGTCAAAACGACCTCTGGCCCATTCATTTATTCATATCGAAACGGCCTTTGGCCCATTCATTCATGTCAAAACAGCCTCTGGCCTATCCATTCATTCTTGTCAAAATGGCCTGTGGCCCATCCATTTGGTATAGCAAACATTGTCCACCAATCGAATCAATGAATCTTATAAAACTTACATGGACGTAAGCATATAAAACTTACATGGACGTAAGCAATTGGACAATAACATATTTTAGATTTCTTTGTTAAGATATTACTCACAGTGATCGACTGGTTGATTTAGCCTGGAGCTTGACCCTACACATCACATAACACATATGGGTCACAACCGATTTAATCTGTTCTTTAATTCACATATTCCTCTCTAGGCTTTATTCTTATTCTTCTAACTCAATTACAATGCTCAATGCATGCCTAAGAGTACTTAGAAGTGAAAGAGAACGGAAAATGAAACTCAGAATGTCTTTTCAAAATTTCAAGAAACAGGGTCCCCGCTCGAGCGGACCCTTGAGGCCTGCAAAAGTACTGGTTATGTCGAATTTACGCTCGATTGTGGACTCTGGCGCTCGAGCGGAAGGCCCCTCTACATGGCTACCCGCTCGAGCGTGAACCTCCTCGCTCAAGCGGACACCATGTCTGCAGAAAATACTGGGAACACGAATTTCACGCTCGAGCGGTGATTTCCCCGCTCGAGCGGACATCAAAATTCTGGAAAATCCAGAACATGTTCTTGAGCTTCAATTTGATGTCCAAAGGTTCCAAATGCATGATTTTGGCCCAAACATCACATATACATGTACTAACATGGTATAAACACCAAATCACAACACAATGAAGCTTAATTTCACAATTTAATCACATCCATGTCTCAAATTAACTCAAACTCATCACCAACACACTAGATTCAAACATGTAAGACTCAAACTCCCATGATTTGCACTTGCATGTAAAATATACACAATATCCTCAACTTAATTGGTAAAAAGATGATCAAATACGTGGTCATTAATCAAAACTCAACATGGATTACATACTTTATGCTCAAACATGGAAATTTATGGCAATTTCCTTCATGCATGTGTTCTAAGACTTCAAATTCAACAAA